AACGTTTTTGCCCGCAGTTTTTTTATTTTTAGTAATTTGCCCAAGAAAATGATCATAATAATCCTAATATTTTTTTGGGTCCACCACCAATGCTATTTATGATTTTTTTTATCTTTTCCGATGGTCCAACACCCCAAATCCATATATGAGTTGTTTCAAAGATAAAATTCCCCCTAAAATCTATGCATTAATTCCTCCAAAAGTTTCCCCCTATTCCGTTTCTCTTCCTCCCTTTCAAAATTTTAAACTACGTAGAAGCGTTTTTAGCATATCAAACTATGTTGTGAGCCCCCTCTTCTGCTGTGAATGAAGCTATAGGTTTAGTCACTAGTGAACACGGGCCTTTGGGTTCTTTGGTTAACCTTACATGGTTAAAGAAACTAATAGGAAGACGAATTTGCAATATCTAGATTTGAGGGACTAATGAGCAAACATTGAGATTTGAGGGAGTGGTAGCGAATTATGGAAGGTGTAAGGGATTAATATCTAAATAACGCTTAAAATTATGTTCAGCCCAGTTTGGTTACTCCGAAGGAGCAGAAGGACGGCCTGATCACTTGTTTAAATTTTTTTCTTTAATAATTGACTACAATTGATAGGTCATGATAGCGACTGAGGTGAGAATTTTTACATAGGATTCGACTAAAACAAGATTTTATAACACTTGCAGGATTTTATATAAATGACGAGAATTGCTTCCACGTTCACCCAAAAAATAAAAAGTTTCTAGCAAAAGCTTTATTTAAGAAAATTCTACCAGATTCGGGCATTCATTTGCCTTCCACTCTTGTATTTCCTCCCAATTATTCAATTTTAATATTACAAAACAAGTGTCAATACTCTTTAACACTCGGGTTCGTCCATTATCATACCATATACTTCTCATTTTTCAACCCGCTTATAATCGGTTGGTAAGTATAAACAAATAACACAATCATGAAGTAGTATCATCAACAGCGTTTTGTTCGTCACTTCCGGCTTATAATAATACATAATATGCAGAACACAACAAAAAGTAAAGCCACAAAAATTGCAGAGGTTTATCTTATGCCTTCGCTTCAAGTGACTCCTTCCTGCCCAAATGATTGCCTGTGTTTAAATAACACCGATTGCTTACATCACATAATCAAGACAAACAAAATAGAGGCGTAAAAAAAATTATATTAGACAACAAAAACCCTTAGTAGAATTAAATAATCCATACACAACCTTACTGAGTTCAAGGGACTAATCCAGCTTTACATAATATATATACTATATAAGGCTTGATATACATTTCAACAATAAATAATTGCATGCTCTACTTCAGTCAACATGATTGTATATATTTCCTTCAAGTATGGGCTCAGCTTGTCGCCTTAATGGAACAATTTGCTGAGGATCAGATTCACAAAGAGCGAGCTCAAGCTCATAACCGATCAGCACTCCTGATGCAAAATCTGTGGCGGTTCAGACATAATGTCTGCAAATTAGAATGTTTCGTGGCTGTCAGCGACTTAGTATGAAGCCCAAATAATCATAATTACAAATAACAAATCATATAAATAGACTTTATAATAGAGAGAACCAGATCAGACCACAAATACGAGAGCTTTTAACGAGATGATTGCACACATACAAACTTCGAAAAATGGCACGTGAGACTTCATGATCTGAAGATAATAAGACAGTGGACTATCTCACACAGCTAATTGAAATACATGATCCAAAACTTCATCACACATACCTGCCTGAGGGTAAGCCATATACCTTTGACATAAGCACACTCATGAGAAGGATAAATAAGAATCTTATTAGAACCAACCCCATAGGAGTGGGGTGGTTTACGTCATAAATAGAATAGATAAAATTCCCAAACTAACCCTTTATCCACTCATGAATAGTATAAATCACCACATTCTGTAGAGGTGTTCTGATAGAATTTGTACTCTATAAAATGAGAGCCTATTTAATATAATATACAACTCCAATGCAGTCATAGGCAGTGGCGGATCGAAGATTTTTGAGAAGTGATGTCACTACATAATTAATAAGTATAAACTTTACAACTGTTCATGTTGAGTTTCCATAAAAAAGCACATATCGCATCATTAGTAACATTGTAAAATACAGCTTTCTCAGTTAGTGGCTATACAATTAATGGGGTAAATTAAGATGTCAGTGGAGAATGTAGTCTAAAGAGTCTTTAACCTTGCTTTTCTATCAATCCACAACTTTCTTTTTCTAATCAAGAAACCCTAAGTTTTGCCCCTCTCTTCTAAGAGACCATCAGCTTTCTTTTTCTGACAACAAAGCCTTAAAATTGTAGTTCTCTTTTCTAAGAAGCCTCCAACTCTTCTAGTCAATTCAGGAGTTCTGCTGTTATTAAAAAAAGTTCGGGTCTTCTTAAATGAGCGGGGTGAAATTTAAAGATTTCCTTGTCAAGAAAAGGAAGTCGAGTGCTTTTTAGAAGAAAAGGGTAAAACTAGGAAGTGTTGTTTTTAAAAGAAGAAAGATAAAGGATTTGTTAGAAATGAAGGATAAAACCTAGCGGGTCACATGAGATTTTTTTTAGTGTTGAGTTTTTTAAATGGGGGTGGGTTTTAGTGGTGTATTATATACTTTGTGGACATTATGGAGCAAAATGGGTTCAATAGATCCGCCTATGGTCATAGAGATGTAATATTAGAATATGTGTTTTTGGTTATTCTAATAATGATACCCATGTCTACATTTCAAGGTACACAAACCAAATATACATTGATGCTAGAATATTGTCTTGATTATTTATAATTTCATATAGTTTTGTAAGGTTAGAGATCTATCATGATTTGAAGGGTTGGGTTTTATCACGAAAGGAGTTTGTATCCTAGTCAAACTTGATAATCAAGAGCTATAGAGCAAAATTGTTTGGTTTCTTTTTAAAAGGTCCTCTATTGTTGTAAAACAAGGCTAAAGGGAATAGCGTTAGATCCGAGGATGCAACCTTGAAACAGTAGGCTAGGATTGAAGGTGAGGATTTTCTTGGTAACAAAGAAATCTGATTTTCTTTGTTGCCTTTAAGGGGAGAAATTCCACTAAGTGGTATCAGAGCAAGATTCAAAGGTCATGGAGATCATGGTGGACTGTGGGTAACATCGCATGCAGAGGACTTTTGGTTTTGACATCAATGGGCGAAGGAACTGCACGCGTGACAATATAAGGCTAACCAACACAATGCACATGATGGCTCCAGCAAAGATGGTGAACGGCTAATTTCTAGCCAATGACAAGCAACAGAACAATGTTGGGACCACTATGGCAACAAGGGGAGGCACAAAAGAGTGCTCAAACAGTCGGGGCAACGAGCAAAGGTACGAATAAGCATGCAGACCTCTAGAGGTACACGCAAGACCGTTCAAACAAACGATGATAGCGGAGGCACAACAAAGTTCGCAGTTTCTCTGTGTAAAGAGTGAGAAAGAAAATTAAAAGCAGCACCTGCGGTGGGTCGCAAGGGAGAGTTTTTACTATTATTTAAATTGGTGTTTTAAAATCTGGATTGGGTCTAAATTGCTTCTTCAACAGTTATTCGATTCACGTGAGGTTTTAAATGAGTATTTGAGATTTAAATTGGTTTTCTAAAATCTAGATTGGGTCTAGATTGATTCTTCAACAGGTCGAGGAATTGGAAGTTGATTTTGATCATCCAAGAGTTGACCCCTAAGTATTTAGGTATTTGAAAGGCAGTGAAATAGGTTTGGTTCTCTAGATTATATGCTCGGATTGATTTGAAAATGCAGGTCAAAGATAGCAAGAGACATATAATGATAGACACGGTGAATTTAGCAAAACAGCTGCTAGGGAGGAAGCTGCAGGGGACGAAACTAGTATGCTAGAGTTAGATACAGACATGATTTTCATGATGGAATTATCATTATGCAATGGTTAGAAGTCATCGCAGGAGAAGGTGATGGACAATTTGTATAGCCTTGAGTAAAGTGTTGCATTAGATAAATATCTAAAGTAGGCATGCATGAGTGACACATGGAAATGGCTGCATCCTGCCATTGTTTTAAATATTTCCAACATGGCCCGATAAATCCTTTTGTACGCCTTTCTGCAAAACTATATGGTCTAAATATCTTTTACCGCTTTTTGACAACTTTGGGTACTATGTACCGACGGTGACATGGCCGATATACTAGCCAATATGTTGACTGATAAGTTCTTTTATATGGCTTATCGCAAAACAATATGTTGTTCTTTACAATTTTCAGACTCTCTATCATGATTTTCCCTATATATCAAGTGACATTTTGGCTTTAAAAAATAGGCTAAAATATTGTAATGTCGATTTGGACTTTTAATTGTTTTAAAACTTCCTAAACATATATTATTTCAATTTGTATGCTTAGATTTTATCAAGTATGTTTAGATTATAGTTTTAAACATTATATTGTATATGCACATCATTCGATACAACACTCCGATATTTAGTATATAACCCCAATAATTCCCCAATACCCGCATTACGATATGGATTTTGATCGTCAAATATATTTTCGATATCCAATATTTAGAACTCTACATCCAGTTTGTGGGGAGGTGTAGGATGGGTACGACTCATTTCTCGTCTCAGTCAAGTGATGTGGAAGATAGATACATTCGGCTTATAAGGAGATGTGGGACTCATGTCTTGTCCTAACCAAGGTGATGCATAGCATTCAACTTTAGGAAGGTGTAGAACGGATAGCACTTTTGTCGAGACTCAGCCAAGTGATGCAGGAGATGATGACGTCCACCTCATATCGGTCCACCTGTCAAGTCCCAAACCTAACCTAGCAGTACATGTGGAGCATAGGGGGCAGGAAGCAGTTCGACTTATTATCCGGCTCAGTTTAAGAAAGAAGCATCTTAGATTTGTTCTGATATCACTGGTAGCGAGGAGATTTCGAGGTAAGCAAGAGAGATGGAGCCACGGTGATGCGCATGATGACAAGAATTTGGGCCCACCCCGGGTGAGGATGTGGGTCTGGTTGTGCAAGCACTCTAGTTAGGAGTATTGAGTGCTTTTGTTCTAAGTGCAAGGCAATAGAATATACTAGTAGGCCTAGTGTACTGGTGCATTTGCTCCAGATATGGCTCAGATATGATACTTGTCATATATATATCTGTTTACCCATCGTGGATACAAATAAGGATACAAATAGACCTCGATAAGAAAAATTCATATCCATATCCGCTCAAATCGGATACCGATATACATACCGATATGTAAGAGGATATGCATACGGATACAAAACGGATATGAGAAACCTAGATAATATTGAAAAAATATATAGTTCATGTGATACAAAAGAGTTCATTAATGTTTGTTATATCTAAAAAGCTAAGATTAGACATCTTTGTCATCAAAATTAACCTCAAATCCATAATCTAAGGATTAATACTATTACAACAGTGACTAATATATGTTCGGATATTTCGGATACGGATCTGGATATTTCACTAATAAAACTATATCTGTAAACATATTCTATCGGTTATGCATTTGAGTAACCATATCTATAAACTAACATATACGGTTACAAATATTTCCTCGGATGCGAATACGATTTGGCACCCCTAGCCTAGTGGTGAAGATTCAAGACGACAATGATAAAATGTTCAAGGTCCTTTGGAATCAAAGCCAGTGTGGAGATTATTTGTATATTGTCTTTGATTCTTTATAACTTTATGTAATTTGATAAGATTAGCGTTTTATTATGAGTACGAGGTTAAGTTAAAGAGTTTTGTATTCTATTTAAACTAGGACAGTTATAGGGAAGTTGAAGATTGTAGGATAGATTTGTTTGGTTTAAAGGATAGTATGGTATTGCTTTTTTTGTTTCTGCTTATTGTTTTAGAAGCAGTCAATAATGATGTTTGGTAAAAAAAATTTTGCAATGCTTATTGAAATTGCTTCTAGTTTTAACGGGGTACTTTTAGAAACAACTTTAGGATTCTTTTAAAAGCAACTTATGTTTTTTTTAGTTTATATATCATATATGACATTTACTTTTTAACAATAATCTTTAAGCGTAGTTTTACCGAACACCTTAGCTGCTTTTAGAAGCAGCTTTAGCCTTTTGATATATAATTATCAAATAACTTTCAGCAGCTTATATAATTTGCTTTTATAAGCTATTTATATAAGCAACTTACTATAAGCTCCAGCCTATGTTACCCAGGTACCTCTATCATGAAGTCGTACCCGTACCCAAACTTCATGGACACTCCTTAGACATATGCAACATTTATTCAGACACGTGCTCAATTATATGAATATGTTTTAATTTAAAACACTTGTCAAATGCTTCGTGGATGTATATGTCACACTTCACAATGCTTGATACTCGTTAGACATAGGTCGGGTTCATTTTAGCCAATATCACGTTCAAAACTATGATGCTAAATGGTCGTTTAGATGTCTAGTTTAAATACGAGTAACATCCAATTTATGATAATCAACATAATAAAAGAAATTTAACATGATAGGAATTTTAATTCTAGTAATATGTGAATTGAAAAATAATAATGATCTCATGTAAATTATTAATCTCAATATACATGTAGTTGTGTCTTCGTCCCGTACATTTTACAACTTTTTCATCTCCAGTAACCGTACCTACTGTTATAAATAACGATAAATAGCACCGCAATAGCGGTGTTAATAGCGTTAGCGGTCTCTTCTCACTACACTAAAACCTAATAGCGGTGACATATTACGGAATATGCGCTTTTTGCTTACAAAAGCAGGCCCATAGTGAGCCACAGCGATGAATAGCGCGCGATTGCGGGCAAAATTCGTTTTTTGTCTATTATTTAAAAGCGGCTTAAGGTTTATTTCTTTTTAAATTAAACTTAACCCACAACTATTGCATCCCACACCGCCTCCCGCGATATCAGGCGTATTCCTGTCGCCTCTCATAGCCTCCGGCACCTTCTTCAACACTTCCTCACACCTCCTCTCGCCGTAAACTCCTCCTACTGCAGTCCTTTCATCGCTCAGCTCATCTTCTCAAAAACGACAACTCTTTGACTCCTCATCCAATAGTCTTCGGTATTATGTGACGGTTACATATCTATTTCATGTTTAGAATCTCTTTAGATCATCAAATATGCACTTTAGATTTTCTAGAATTTTTTTTTAAAATTTTCTCATTTTTTTGAATGTTTATACATATCTAAATTAGGCCGCTATTTGACTTAGTGTTTTTTACCGCTATTTTATAGCAATAGCCCCAAATAGCCTTACCAACACCTCACCGCTACGCAACGCTATCCGTTATCGATAACATTGCCCATACCATTACCCGTACCCGCAGTTGTACCCGTTTTCTTGCAAACTAGGCTCCAACAATACCAAATTGGCACTAATTCTCTACAAAAGTCCTCTATTATTGTAAACCAATGTTAAAGGGATTAGAGTTAGATCATATGACGGAGTCTTGAATAGTAGGCTAGGTTGAGGTGTACGTTTTCTTCGTAATAACAAAATTTAGTTCTCCCCTCAACATTTGTGTTCTTGTCTATCACCTTCAAGGGAAGAAATCCAAATAGAATACACCAGATATAATTTTAGTAAAAATTTTAGTAAAATTGTTAAACAGAAAGAATTAGTGTATAAGACATATCAGTGTTACTTCAAGAGGAACACTTTCTCCATTTGATTAATCACTCATCAAGATGATGAGACTGAGGGCGATGTAGTTCTCAAATCAAATCAGAATAGTTAAAATGAAGGGGGTGTGTATTATGTGAGGGCAATTTTATAGGAGAACTATAAGAACAATATTTTATGGATATACTATTAGGCAAGGCAACAAAGAAATAATATGCACAAAATTTTGAATGTGGCATTAATGAGAATGTTATAATGGACTTGTCTAAGCAATGGAATAAGAAATGAGTGCGCTAATAGGAAGTTAGAGATCACTCCTATTGATAGATAGAGTCAATAAAAATGTGATAAGATTATAACTAACGGAGCAAAGAGGACTAGAGATAGGTCTTCAAGCACTTGCTTAGAAGAGAATAAGAAGAATATGACAGTGGTTAGGTTAACGGAGGAGTGTATGTAAACAGGAGTGAAGGAAAGAATAGGATTCATTTAGCCAATCCTAAACATTTTGGATAAAGATGCTTATTTTGTTGTTCTTGGTATTGAATTGAAACATTAGCTTGTCTTATATCTCCTAGTTTCTCGTTCTCACGGACTACTCTCATAATGTTCATGTTATGGCTATATTGTATTCTTGATAAAAGTTCACGAATCCATCTTCCAATCTGTTTGATTTCTAGAGTAAATGTAGTGGATAAAAAGGATGAATAGCACTAAACATAGTAGCTACAACAAAAAGACTTGCCTCAACAAGAAAGAAACTGAGACAAAACAAGCAATGCCAAAAGAGAGAATACCTAGTCTAAGGAAACAGACTGACCCTGAATCAGCTACGTTGTTTCACGAATTCTCTGAACGCAATATTCAGCACATTTGTGGAACGGATTGGAAGCATTCACGCACCTAGGATCAACATCTCCTTTCTCAAACAAAATACTTGCACTTCCCTTGCTTCTATCTGCAATCACAGCAGCCACGGCCACAAGATTGGACTTTTGATAGGCAAAACGAAATAAATCCCAATAAGACCCAAAAGAGCATGACTTTTCACAGAGGAAGCTAACCTGGCTTGCCTTTCTCACTCCCAACAGAGCCACTGATTTTTGGAAGGCAGTATTCAGCACATTCGTGGAAGGGATTTGATGCATTTGGACACCTAGGATCCACCTTGCCCCTCTCTCTAATTATCACTTCCTTCTTATTTTCTCTAGTCGACATTTCTTCATCACTTTCTCTTGCAAGTAAAGCCCCTAGCATTTTTGGCATCATCATCATTTTTCACCATTGATTCATAATGACATCAGGTATGCATAGCTTGACGCATAAAATGACTAACTAAACTCTTAGTTGTCGCTTTACTCTATAGAAGACAAACCAAATATCATGGATTTTCTTACTGATGACAACCTCTATGTCTATGAGTAGTTGCCTAAATGGACTTGAATTTGAGCTACGCAACTAAGAAAAATAAGTTCATGTGCTGATAATAACAATAATGACAGTTAAATCAAAAAAAAAAATTTAAAGGATCAAATACATTCTTCCTCTTTAAACAGCACGTCAGCTATTGACATATAAGCTGCTATTTTGTCTGTGGTATCCAATGGGAATTAATTTAAAACACGTTTAAACTATTAGATGGAAGATATGGTCAACAATTAAATAGAAACCAACAAGATCTTGCTCTGCTTTACAATTATCGTCGAAATGCTGTCAAAAGAAATAAAGCCTTACTATTTATCTAAATAGATAAGAAATGCCAAAGTTAAAGCAATGACACAATAAGAAGCAGATGGATCTGATTTTGTCTCATATTTCACCTAAGTGCCAGTAGATTTGATGTTAGTCATGAGAAGAAGAAATGGCCTACGCAACAAAGTTACCTCCGTTTGTAACTAATAATTGAATAAATGCTATAGGAAACAAGGGAAAGATAAGGAAACTTCTTTGATATACAGTTAACATCCATGATGCTCATGAATGCTTAATCTTTTCTGTCTTAGTGTAATTAAATATGTGCTAAAAAACACCGAAAGCAGAGAAGGAAGTAAACCTAATGTTCCCCTTTTTGCTCCTGAGCTTCCTTCAGAGCAGTGTTCAGTGCATTGGTGGAAAGGATTGGAAGCATTGGCACAAGTTGGGTCGACTTTACTTCCTCCTCCTATCTTCCTAACTTCTTTGCTTAATTCTCCATTTTGAGCTGCCATAGTAATTAACCAAAAAGGAAAGAATTTAACATACAAAGAATCCGAAGAAAACTAATGATCGTGCCATATTAAATCGTAGCAGCAGGACATTGAATTTTCAAACATCAATTGAAAGACACAGTGAATAAATGGCAGCTGGGCAGGAGCTTGCTTTACTTAACAGCTGGAACCAGATGACAGTTTAATAAGAACATTTTGTTGATAATTTCGTTATTTGCTTTTTTTTAAATCAAATTTACATAAGTCAAATTTCGGTACAACCTTACTCGGTTGCACCATATAGTCTGAATTTTAACATAGCATAGCCACAATTCCCAGAAGATCATTTCTAGAAACATTATTTGGTATCAAAATTGACATTCTTAACCTTTAAATCATGCATGTCTTCTCTATCTTCCTGCTCACAACTTTCGAGCGTCATCCCAACAGTCACCATCAAATTAACTTCCTTTCTTATCTCTATTGTGACAATTGTCAGCTTCCAATTGTGATCTACAATCCTTATGTTCACCTCCGCATCATCCTATAAATACTAATTACTTGACCTTCACGCAAGTATCAATTGATAAATGCTATAAACCTTAAAACATTTTAAATCAGAAATCTATTGAGTTTTCTTTGCAGGAGAGAGAGCTCAGAGAAGCACGAAAAGCAAAATTCAATATAAATTTTTATGTCATCTAGAAAGAAAGAAAGAAATACTGTCATGATGGCTGAAGTAGCAAAATTACCAATGGTTCTCACTAATACCCTGTGTATCCTCTCTCCGATGTATTATATAAGTAAAATATGTATGTATTTATCTATGCATTTAATGCCCTGACAAGGTAAGAAATTCAGTGTTAAAGACTAATGGGGAAGGGTAAAAAATGGAAGATCTACACCGTTCATCGTGATTTTCATTTCAATTATGTCCAATTCTCACTTTTGCTCTCAAAATAACAATTTGGTGGTTACCGCGATCAAGATCTGCACTGTTCATCATGATTTTCATGCCATAAATGGTTGCTGATGTTTCAGTTCTCACGTTCGCTCTCGAAATAATAATTTTGTGGTTGCTGCGAGGAAGTGTTGGGATAAGGAATTCAAGGAAACAAAGCAAATTCAATTTTCCCCTCAGTAGTTGTGATTTTAAAAACATTTGAAATAGACAACATAGACTCTATGTCAACAATGACAGAGGAATATTTTTCTCCAATTGGAACAGAAAACAAAGTAAAAAAACACCGAGCATGAGAAAATTGAAAAAGAAAATTAAACCTGTTTTGCCCGTTCTGATTTGTCTCTCTACATCCTTTGTTTTATTAGTGCAATAATCCCCACACCGGTGAAAGGGGTTGGATGCATTGATGCAATAGGGATCAACTTTTCGTCCATCTACTCCGAGTATCTTCCCATTTGGAACTGCAGCCATTTTAAGCAACCAACTTTATTATTCAAAGATCTTTACAACAACAATATCAGAAGATAAGGAAAATGTTGGTTGTCTATAAATAATTCGATATATAAATTCAAATCACACAAAATACCATGCATTTCCTACAAGCAACTGATATTAGTGCACATTAAAGGAACAGAACAAAAAAATTGATGACAAATTAAAGATGTGAAGGAATTAAGCTGACCTTATGATCCAAAATTTAATCATACTACTTACAGTAGCAGATCTAACATCATTGGAAAGTGGTGTCACCATATAATATAATAATTCAAAAATTAACAATTGTCCCCGATAAGTTCTCATATTTTCAAAAAAATACAAAATTGCATCATTAGTAATACTATCTAATACATCATTCTCAATATATGCCATTAAGCAGTCATTGAGCCAATGATCGCTCATTCTATTCCACAACTTGCTCTTTATCAACTTCATTGCAAAAAACCATTATTTGAAATATCCCCAACGTGAACCGATATATTACCAATATATCCTTTTACAGGGTTGTCACTTGTTACAACCAATATGGTCTCTAAATATCTTTCACCGCTTTTTGGCTATTTTGAGCAATATATCCCCGATATAACCGATATATTAGCCGACCTTTTATATAGCTTGTCCCAAAATAATACACCGCGTTTGGCAATTTTTGGGCATCATGATTTTCCCATTATATCAAATGACATTTTGGCCTAAAAAAGTCAAACAAAATGTTGCAATGTTGATTTGTACTATTGTTTGTTTTACAAGGTTGATTAGTGATCCTAGACATATATTATTCAGATTTTGTATGCTTAGATTTTATCAAGCGTGTTGATATTACATTTTAGTGCATTATACTATATATGCAAACATCCGTTATAGCATTCTGATATTTACCACGTATCCTGAAATTTTTTTGATATCCGCAATCTAATATGAATTTTAGACATCCGATATTTCCCCGATATATGATATTTAAAACCAAGTTTATCGATAGCGGAGAGCGTCGCTAGCAGTGAGGTATCGCTAAGGCTATTTGGGGCTATTACCGCAAAATAATGGTAAAAAGCTCAAAGTCAATAGCGGTCTAGTCTAGACATGTATAAATACTCAAAAAAATTAAAGAAAAATTTAGAAAATCTAAAAGTACATATTTGATGATTTAAAGAGATCTTAAATATAAAACAAATATGTAACCATCACATAATATCAAAGACGACTAGAGGAGTCAAAAAGTCGTCATCTTCGAGAAGATGAGCTGAGTGGTGAGAGGACTGCAGTAGAAGAAGCTCACGACGAGAGGAGGTAAGAGGAAATACTGAGAGAGGTGCCGAAGGTTGTGGGAGGCAGCGTGAATACGCCGAAAATTGCGGGAGGCGATGGGATGCAGTGGTAGCGGATCAGGTTTAATTTAAACAAATAAACCTCAAACAGTTTTTAAATAGGGGCCAAAAAGCGGATTTTGCCCACAATCGCCTGCTATTCATCGCTATGGCATGCTATTGGCCGCTTTTGCGAGCGGAAAGCACATATTCCGTAATATACCACTGTTATTGGGCGATAGCGTAGCAGGAAGAGACCGCTAACGCTATTAGCGCCGCTATTACGGAGCTATTTACCGCTATTTATAACAATGTTTAAAACCTAGCAAAAACCTCTCTCTACAGTTGTTGTAACCATGGGTAAGATCAATATCATCTTCAAAAGCATACACACTAAAGACAGATATTATGTTTTTAGTCTCTACCATATTTTTAAAAGATCACCTACTCCCTTCAAATTTGTAAATCTTGCATCTTTATGCACATCAACAATGTAATTGCCAAGTTGACCCTTAAGCGCCAAGATCTCAATGCTACAAAATTCATATGGATCTAATTCGGTATTTTAAGCAACTTCTCCACATTAAATGGGTGGGTTATTAGATGGGTGGGTTTTAGTGGGGTCATTTTGGGTTTATTGTGCGCCTGAGTCAGATAGGATTAGGAGAGTGGTCTCAACTTTTGCAATAGGGTCATTGATTTGTTTTTGGGGTAGAATATTTAGATTGGTGGGTTTAATTGAGGGTGGGGTAATGGTACTTCTTGAGCAACTGGGATCAAGTGATCCCACTTTATTCTAAGTGGGTCCACCACTGACTACTTAATAGTTAATACACATAAAAATCCAAAGGAAATCCGGGGCAAGAAATTATAACCTGATTTGCTCCTTGATGTAAGGACAAGAAAATATCAGTTGGCTGAAAACAACCAATATTTCAAGACAAACTGTAAATAACACATATTATTAAGTAAGCAAAGCCTCTATAATTCAAGACAAACTGTAAATAATACATATTATTAAGTAAGCACAGCCTCTTTCTTTCATGTTTATGTTGTTATATAGTCATATTATACAGATAAAAAATATATGTATCATATCCGACTGAAACATTCAATTCCATATAATAATTGGATAAAACTAAAACAGAAGGAGCAAAAAATAAAGAAACTGTATACGGTCTAAATTAATGATGTAAGATAATTTAGATTAACCACATAGGATTAACTTTTAAAAATACAATTAAGTAAAAGTAAATAATCAAAATTGAATATCTCAAGAGGAAAAATAATCGAGAAATCCGAAGTAAACCTGATTTGCCCCCATCACTTCGACCACTGGATGATCTCGGAGAAAGTTTTAATAATACTGGAAATGCAAAACGACCTAATTATAGCAAATCCAAATTAGAAAACAGTTTATTCTCCTTCCTAATTACACCCAAAACATAACTAGGATAAATCACAAGAAACCCTTTTCATCTATTATCTATACCCGGTTCTCCAAGAAACCCCGTCATTTATTATGTTCAATAAAAAAAGAGCTTTTGAACGGCTTCAGGGTAAACTTGTGAAGCATGTAAGAGCATTAAATACAAATCCTACAACTATAATTGTTGTTTTTACGCAATTACCTTCTATCATCTCCTTCATATAAGAGGGTAGTTACATTTCGTTAAAAATGAACACGGTTATGAAGTAGATGAGGGGTTTCTTGAGAAACTGAGTATAATTTATGGGGTTACCCAAAAAAACCAAGAAATTAAAACCTGATTTTCCATTTTCGCTCGTTTTCTTCGTACAATAATCCGCGCACTGATGAAATGGATTCGAAGCATTAACGCAATCAGGATCGACATTCTTCAATCCCTCCCCGCTTCGAACTGCACCAAACAAATCAGGATCAAATTCAAAGGTTGAACAACAACCAAGAAGAAGAGGAAAAAAAATAGCAAAAAATAAAAAAACCTGGGGTTTTTCCTCCTCCGTTGTCGATCCTGAGCTTACTAGGATTCTTCGATCGCTGGCCGTTGCAGTAATCAGCGCACTCATGGAAAGGATTGCCGGCGTTTGGGCAGCCGGAGACAACTCTACGCTCTCCCTCCATTTTCCCTTTTTTTTATCTTTTTTCTCTTTGTTTCTAGAATTTTGTGAATTTTTTTGATCGAATAAACCCTAGAATTGTGGGGAAAGCAAGTTTTAGTGCTCCTTTTTGGGGTCGGCGTTGGAAGCGTGTTGGAGGCACTTTCTGGAAGGAGTTGAAAGTCGGAGGCTTTTGTGGAGAGGGTTCAGACGATGACTGAAAGTTTGAGGACGAAGTCTAATTTGGTTTACTTTATTTCTTTATTGCTACCCCGTGATGACTGAAAATGATGGCCTTATTTTGGCCGCAGGGTTTTCGAAGAGGGTAAATTTTATAGAATTCCTATGAATTTTAAAGCATTTTGCACAATTCTCATAAACTTTATAAACTGGAGAAAACTCTCCTAAACCTTCGAAACTGTAATAAAAACCCTTCTCAAGCTAGGATCGATAGAGTAATTAGTTTGAGATAATGACGAATCAAAATTTTGGATGAAATACTTTGATGTAGCGGAAGCGTTCTCGTACGAGCAAAACAACACAAGCCCTAGTAACCCTAGGAATAAAAAACTTTTAAAATTAATAATAACCAATATAAAGAGTTCACAAATTCATCCCCCTTATATAGGATGTAAAACAAAGCAAAAGTACTAAAATAACCTTTTCTAAAATAATTAGACTTTCTAAAATAAAAAACGTTCCATAAAAACTAGAAGCTAAATTGAACCAAAACTCTTTGACATGTAGTTCAAACCTGAAGATGATTTTTTTTATCTCGAAACTCAGTTGGAACGACAAAGTAGTTTGACTTGTAGAGCACTTCCCGAGCTTTCCGAAAATATATAATAACAGCGATTCTATGGAGGGAATCTAAAGTTATGGTCAGTCGAAGTTGCACATAAGAATCTGGCCGAAAATTTTCCTCTTTACTTAGATCGTCCGAGCTTTGCACGATCCTATTTTTCCTAAAAGGTATCAGCAATGTCCTCCACATTACTCTCCCCTCTGTGAAAAAAAACTCAAACCCGAGTTTTGCCAAAGATAAAGTGACACGTCAGGATGAAACTCCTCTAGTCAGCAACATTAAAGGTGGGAGAAATATTAGCGAAATCACTAGGTAACTCCGCAACATAAGCATTATCTTCACGTGGACAATTTAGGACAGGAAGAGATGTTTAAAGCCCTATGTTCTATGACTGCCCCTTCGATGTATGGCACATCAAACACTTCCCAACAACTCTGTCAGCATCTCTATGCAAACATGGCCAAAAATATTGCTCCTCCACCAATGCAATTGTTTTATCATGACCTAAATATCCACCTAAGCTTCCGCCATGAAGTTCCAGAATGAGATGCTCGTGCAAATACCATGTGGAATGCAAAGTGTATTCTGAAAGAAAAGGAACCCATCAAGAATAATCATGGCGCCCAATTGTTTATTCATGATGCAAGCCTCCTAGTCATCACGAAAATCCTCATTATTTTCATATAAATCTTTCAAGCAATCAAATCCAACAATAAAATTACTCGTAATTACTAACGAGGAGGTACGAAAGCTAAGTGCATCAGCAACTATGTGTAGCTTGTTGGCCTTCTTGTTTTGATGATGATTTACAAACAATTTACTACTAATGTTGTTTGTCTAGTGTTTTTGTATTCCTATGTATTGTAGACAAACAACGTGTTGGAGGATGGATGGAATAGCGCTTCAACGACGATATCAAATGGAGGTTGGCGGAATGTCGGATATCCAAAGGAGGTTGGCGGAATGTCGGTGAAGCCTATGCAATTCAAGTTAAAGATCAAGTTCAAGCTTCATCCGCAAATATATCAAGTCAAGCCTATTGAAGATTAAGATCAAGCTTTGGTATATTTAGTTTAGGTTTTATATTATGTGTGTTAGATACTCTAAGCTCAATATCATATACACACACGTATTTGGTTTCTATGCATATATATATAGTTATATATATATACATACAAGTGTTTTAGATTTTGATGTTTATATATACATACACGTATTTGGTATCTAAGCTCAAATATCGTATTCTCAGTTTATAGACTTAACAATCATCATATACATATTTTATTAAGTCTATATAATCATTGTGCAAAGTTTCAAAACATTGTTTATGTCAAAACATCAAACTTCATGTATATCACTTTTTCATGTTTTGAACACTTTTGCAAAATAATGAGATTTCACAATTGGGAAATGCAAATTAGAAAATTCTTTTTGTAACATGTTCAAAATATCATTTTCAAACATTTCTCAAATTTTCATTAAGTTTGGAATTGATTTGTTATGTTTAAAGGAATTTACAAATTCACGTTTTCGTTCGTGGACATGTTCGTGCATGTTTTACAAAACTGATGAGTTTTCACAAATGAGAAGTGATATTTGAAATATTCTTTCTCTGACATGTTTATCTACATGTTTAGAAACTTTCATCCAGTTTTTACTATTTTTAGAGTTGATTTACTGTGCCTAATTGATTTTACAAAATCGTATATCACAGCAGATTTTCAGAAACTGTATTTCTGTGTTCAAACATTTATTTCTCTCAACTCGGAAATTATTTTTCATAAATTCTTTTTCTAACATGTTTTTATACATGTCTAGAACCTTTTCTCAAAATTTCATAATTTTTGGAACTGTTTTACTATTTTTAACTGATTTTATAAAATCAGATGTAACTGCTACAATACCGCCGGTCGACCGACGAACTGTCTGGAACTTTTCTCCGCTTCTTTCTTTGCTCGCGGTCGACCGCGATTTTCCTCGGTCGACCGCTGCAGTTATAACGGCTCTTTTTAGAGCCGTTGCAGATGGTTTTTTGGTCTTTTTGTAAGGGGTTTTGGTCTGAGGTTTTGGAGGCTATAAAAACCCTCTTTGATCTCAGTTTTGAGACTGCTAAGAAGTTTTTAACAAGGGTTTCAAAAAGGGTTTAAGAGTTTGTTTGAGTTTAGTTTGTGAAGCAAATTTCACAAGAGCAAAGAGGAAATCATCCTTTGGTGTTTGGGCATTTAACTCATCTCTCTCTCACTCTTGTCATTTATTGGAGAAGTTTTCTAAACTCAATCTAGCTTTACATTTTATTGTTTGATTATCATTTTATTAAGCTAGTGTTTATATTGAGTTTAGTTGATTTTATTTATCTCTTTGTACACACACAACCATTGAGCTTATTGTATTTGCATACATTGTATAATTAGGTTGTGGGATTGTGTGACTTAGAGAGTGAGCCTACATTGAGTTCTCATCTATTGTAGAGAACAATCTTGTTGTATTTTTTAGCCTAATTGTGAGATTCACTTTGTAATACACTTGTACACCGAGTGAGGAGTGTGTGGTGAGAGTCGGGGATCATCCCAAGAGGAGTGGCGTCGGTTGACGTGCCTAGGGAGAGGTTATAACCGAACTTGAGGGAGACACGGCTAGGTCCAACACTTAGTGGGTGTAGAGTGTGATTGCAAGAGTGTGAGTTGTAGAGTTTTCGGTTAGCTAGAAAACCGAGTGTGTAGAAGAAGTTCCGGCTTCCAAACCGGATTGTGTTAGTGGATTTCTCCCCGGGAGTGGGGAGCGGAGACGTAGGACGGAAGGTCCGAACTCCGTGATCATATTGCTTGTTTGAGTGTGCTTTGGCGTTCATTCATTTTTATGTTCATATCTTATATCGCCATTGTCATTAGCTCATTATCTATATCATCCACTATCTAGTTCACATTGTTTACCCTTGTGTTCATATATCCTTGCATATATAATGAACAAGCTTTTGTTAGAATATTTGCTTAATGCCTTTGACTCATCATTTTCTAACAAATTTGTTCATTTTGATAGTGCTTACAATTTATGGAAATTCATAGAAGCACATCAAGGCAACTTGGAGGAAATCCGACGTAGTTTGGAGGATTGTTCTTCAAGTGAGTGTGGAGCATCATCATGCACACGGCCACTAGGCGATAGCCCTAGTGTGGTAAGCGATTCGGAATCCGATAGTGATATATCCATCAATGAACTCGCTTGTGCATATGATAGATTATCTCATGCCTATACAAAATTGCAAAACAATTTTATTGATCTTAAAAGCAAGCATATTAGTTTAAAATCCGATCATGAGTCGCTAGCTTCCAAACTTGATATTGTTGTTAAAGAGAATGCTATTTTAAAAGAAAACAATGAGTTATTAAGTTTGGAAAATAATAACATGTCTTCATCTATTGCTAGCTTAACTCATGCTAATAATGATGTCATGATAGAAGTAGAAACTATTAGAAATAAGTTTAGTTCGTTTAAAAATGATCATGTTTCATCTACTTCTATTTCCAATGCTTGTATGCCTAAAAATGAGTTGGATCATGTTAAAGAACGCATATCATCTTTAGATTCAACCCTTAAAACATGCATTGTAGATAATAAGAAACTTATGGACTTGGGTGCAAAGTCTCGTACTACAACTTCTAAATCCGTACACTTTGCACACATGTATAGTAAAACTTATAAGTGTTCTATTTGCGGTCGTAAAGGCCATTTAGCTAAGTTTTGCTATGATACACATAAATCCTCCAAGACTAACGTTTCTTGTGCATCTCATAAGGTTTCTTCATCACATACACATGCACATATTCATCATGTTCATCATAAGCATGCTCATGTGTTTAAATGTGATATTTGTGGTCGTTTTGGTCATTTGGCCAAATATTGTTTTGATTTGAAAAATAAATCTCATTTGCCAAATATTTCTAGTAGACCACATGTTTATAAATGTAATGTTTGTGGTAGATTTGGCCACTTAGAAAAGTTTTATTTTGATAATGTTTCACATTTGCAAAAAGCTTCCAATAATCTACCCTTATTTGCAAATGTTCCACGTGTACCTTTTAATGGTCAACATAAGCAAATGCTTCCTTTCCATTGTACATATTGTAATCGGAAGGGTCATTTGAGTGATTATTGCTATGACCGATCCCGTGCACCACATATGTCCAAGAGGGTTCATAACCCTAGGACTTTGAGCTTTAATGATAGGGGTCATGTCCCTAAACAAACCGGCACCAAGAATACTTGGGTGCCAAAATGATTTTTAAGCCAAGAATTTTAGTACTTTTATTTTTCTTTTTCTTGGTTTTGAAAAATGTATTTTAAATCAAATCTTTTGTTTTCATAATTATTAGTCTTGATTTTGATGAGAGGTTTGTGTTTATATAACCCTCCGGGTTTATTGGGTGTTTATTCTCAAATCATGTTTATCGGATGCTAGAAT